GTAAAGATCTATATCGTCGGCGCTGGAGACAGGTGCAGTACCTGGCAAATGTATTTTGGAGGCGCTGGATTCAGGAGTATTTACCTGCCTTGCAAGTGCGCCAAAAATGGCTGAAACCAAAATGCAACTTAAAGAAAGGTGATTTGGTGATTGTGAGCCAGGACAACACTCCTCGCAACCAGTGGCCATTGGGCCTGATCATCGATGCTCACCTTGGAGCTGACGGACTAGTGCGCGCAGTTGAAGTGAGGACTGCCTCTGGCACCTATGAAAGGCCAATATCCAAGATTTGTTTGTTGGAAGGCTCTGCTACAGAGCAGCAGTGAGCAGCGCAGTGATCAGCAGTGAGCAGCGCAGCGATCAGCAGTGAGCAGCGGCGGTGCAGCAGCGCAGCGATCAGCAGTGAGCAGCGGCGGTGCAGCAGCGCAGCAGCAGCAGTGAGCAGCCGTGATCAACATAATTGTGAACATTTCATGGGAACATTGCACTGGCTGCTGGTGCTGCATGAGTAAATACGTGTGATGCGACACTTTGTATTGCTCATAACGTAGCCGGACACCATGAGATGCTGTGACACCATGGAATGCGGTGACTCCATGGGATGCGGTGACACCATGGGATGCTGTGACATCACGAGATGCTGTGACACCCTAAGAGAAACTGTATACTGTCATTATGCAATGTACTTATGTAATCTAAACCAGTTGTTACTTGTGTACTTAAAAAATGCATAGTCCCATGACCATGCATTGGGGCCGGGATGTAACACCTGAGCCTTTATTTTTGTAGTCTTTACGTGCTGTTTGTACCACACTGTAAGGTGCTGCCATCTAGTGGAATGTTTTGTGGAATGTTTTGTGGAACGTGTTTTTCTGAGCATGCTCAGTGATGACTTGCGGACACCATCTTTAAAATTACTGAAAAGCACATCGTTTATGAGAGTTATGTAATTTAATGATTTAAACCGATTTGTAACCTAAGAGAAACCAGAAATGTAAGTGATTTATAATTATTGGTGACACAGTCTATTGCTTTGCTAATTTAGTGTACTTAGAGGGTCAATATTGTTAATAATGCAGACTCTAGTGTTGTAGGGTATTTTTGCTGTATTTAATGTAGCATTTATTTCCTTTATAAATTCTTTCTGTCATATTCCAAGTAAAGATATAGTAAAACTAAGCAATTTTATCATTTGTGTATTATAGTGTAATTGTATATGGCAGATTTGCTGTATAAGCAAATAGATTTCTAGTTTAAAGTCAGGTTTTTTATGTGCGGTAAATGTATTTACCTTTGGCAGTTAACTGAAGTGTATGTTATTCTAAATTGGCCCATTTTTGTTGTATTGCAGTCAAAACCGTCGTCATTACCTCTGAAATAAATATACCAATGCAGTCAGACGAGTCTAGAATCTGGTTTCTTGAAACAATTCCATTGAACACACCTTTCGGACACCTGCGGGTGTTACACATATATACACAATATATACTATATATTACATACATACAACACAATATTGTATATAATAATTGTATATATATACACAATATATTACATACATACAACACGATATTGTATATAATAATTGCATATATATACACAATATATTACATACATACAACACGATATTGTATATAATAATTGTATATATATACACAA